TTTTATAACCTACAAGGCACAAGGAGAAATAAACTACATTACCATGGAACAGAATATGCCTTTGTAGTCCTGTCTGCTATTAATGTTTCTGATTGCAATACTAATGTGCTAGAAATACTCAGTTTTAGAATGAATCAAGGCATAAAATTGATTTCATGCTGTGACAGTTTATATATTGCCCTAAGAATACAAGAGGTTCATTCATTAAAAAGAGGAAAGAAGAAAAGAGATAAAGTGGCACGTGAAAACTGTGCTTGTTATAAATATATCAATCTTTTAAACTTGAATTTCACATGTTTAGCCAATTATAGAAAATAGCTAAACTGCCTCCCAAATTTTTTGACTTTGCTGCTCAAACTGTGTATATGGAACAAGAATTGTTAAATTACAACTAAAAAATCCTGTTTAAAGCTTTAAAGGTTTTAAGGCAACAAGAAATGATGATATTACTAGGAGAAATTTCCTCACCAGTATCTTCCATTATCACTATATATCAAATGTTATTTAAATGTCCCAAATGATCTGTTAGGGAAGAAGGTAACAGAATAACAGAGTTGGAAGGAACTTAATATACTTGCACTTCAGTAAGGAATTTGACAAAATGGACCACAACCTACTTGTTCGTAAGATAGAAAAATGTGGGATAGACAACATCATCATCAGATTGATTCATAACTGGCTGACCAATTGCACTCAATGTACAGTCCTCAATGGAAGAAAGCATGCAGGGGAGTAGCCCAAGGTTCTGTGTCAGGCCCAGCACTCTACAACATTTTATAAATGCTTTAGATGATAGGATAAAAGGGGAATTCATCAAATTTGCAGACACCAAGCTACAGGAAATAGCCAACACTTTAGAAGATAGGTTCAAGATACAGAAGGATATAAACAGATTTAAATACCAGGCCCTACCCAACAAAATACAGTTTGGTGGTGTGAAATGTAAGGTATACCCTTAGGCAAGAAAAATACACAGGTATAGAATAGTGGTACATGGCTCAACAGGATGAACTGTGGGAGGCTATCTAGGAGTCCTAATGGACAACCACTTACATATAAGCCATCAGTATGCTGCTGCCGCAAAAAAAGCAAATGCAGTCCTACACTGCATCAACGAGGGATAGAATCAAGATACCATGACATGTTAGTACCGCTTTATAATAACTTGGTAAGATCAACTTGGAATATACTGCGTCCAATTTTGGTCACCACTGTTAGGTATAACATTGATACCAAATATGGTTTGGGTGAATAAATAT